CCCCACTGCTCCCCAGGCCTCTTCCTCCAACCCTGGGCGATTCTTGCTCCTTAGTTCCCAGCACCGTGTACAGCTCAGGCCTCCGGGGTTGTTGTGGGCTCCTGGGGAGCATTTGGGGGACATGTAGGGCCTGTGACCTGACCCCTCTCCCCTCAGGAAACACAAGACTCTGGCCTTGATCAAGGACGGGCGGGTCATTGGTGGGATCTGCTTCCGCATGTTTCCCACCCAGGGCTTCACGGAGATTGTTTTCTGCGCTGTCACCTCAAACGAGCAGGTCAAGGTGAGTCCATGCCCCTGGTCCCAGCTCCATCCCACCCCCTGCTTCTGCTCTGGACGAGGTCAGAGCAGCACAATCGTGACACAGCTGCCCCCAACCCTTCTTTTAGTGGCCAGACAGTTCTTCACACCCCCACAAGGTGGCAGTTGTACTTTGATAACTGCATTAAGGAAACACCTGTTGACATGTGGCACGCCAGAATCAGTAACCCTTTTATTTTGTTTTCTTCTCGTTTTATTGAGATATAACTGACTTGTAGGGCTGTGTAAGTTTAAGGCGTACAGCCTGATGATTTGACTTACATACGTCGTGAAATGATGACCACAGTAAGTTTAGTGAACATCCGTTATCTCATATAGTTACAAAATTAAAGGAATAGGAAAAAAATGCTTTTTCTTTGTGATGAGAACTCTCCAGATTTACAGTAACACTTTTAAATGGACCTGTATTTCTTTCATCACAAGAATGTTCACGTACGTTGGGGAGTTAACTTTTATAACAGCACCCTGTGCTGGGTGATAGTCCTGGTTTCTGTCCTTTAATTGTTACAGTAGACCCACTAGTAAGGTCCCGGGTTGTCCTGTTTTATTTTTTTATTTACTTATTTTTTATAAATTTATTTTACTTATTTTATTTTTGGCTGTGTTGGGTCTTCGTTGCTGCGCGCAGGCTTTCTCTGGTTGCGGCGAGCAGCGGCTACTCTGCATTGTGGTGCGCGGGGTTCTCATTGTGGTGGCTTCCCTTATTGCAGAGCACGGGCTCTAGGCGTGCGGGCTTCAGTAGTTGTGGCACACGGGCTCAGTAGTTGTGGCGCACGGGCTTAGTTGCTCCATGGCATGTGGGATCTTCCCAGACCAGGGCTCGAACCCGTGTCTCCTGCATTGGCAGGTGGATTCTTAACCACTGCACCATCAGGGAAGCCCTATTTTTTAATTTTTATTTTTTAATACTCTTTTTAAAAAATATTTATTTATTTATTGTTTATTTGGCTGTGTTGGGTCTTAGTTGAAGCACGTGGGATCTTCGTCGTGGCATGCAAACTCTTAGTTGCGGCATGTGGGATCTAGTTCCCTGACCAGGGATCAAACCCGGGGCCCCTGCATTGGGAGCGTGGAGTCTTAGCCACTGGACCACTGGGCAAGTCCCTTGTCCTGTTTTGTTTTTATTTATTTACTTTGTAAAATGATGCAGCCACTTTATTTATTTTTGGCCACACTGTGCAGCTTGCAGGATTTTAGTTCCCCTGCCAGGATCAAACCCGCGCCCTCTGCAGTGAAAGTTTGGGGTCCTAACCACTGGGATGCCAGACAGTTCCACGGTTGTCCTGTTTTACATAACCCATATCTGCAGGGTGCCTCTTTGGTCCTGACGTGTGTGGAAGACAGTCTCTTTGGGGTTCAGATATTGTGATGAGTGGGGCCCTTGTGATTCCCCCTCCCCCTTCCTCCAATTCTGAGGCCCAGGGACTGGGAACTAGCCGCCTGAGGACCACAGCTTCCTGGTTGGGTTTAGATGCAGGCCCTCCCTGCCATAGCTGGCCACCTGACTTGGACACATTTCCTAACATAGCTGAGTTTCAGGTGTTTTTCTGTAAAATGAAGGTAACGATAGCTGTTTCATGGGTTAACTTGAGGATTACTCTGTAAAGAACCAAGCACCACACCTGTTCCAGAGTAAGCTCTTAGAAATCCAGCATCCTTCGCTTTTCTCCCCATAAACTCCCCTTCCTCTGCCAGTCGCCTTTCCTCCTACCTGACTTGGATCCCCTGGCTATTCCCACCTCCTTTCCAGTCTGCTCCCTCCTGTCCCTGCCCTTCCCTCCCTGCCCCCCTGAGACCTCTCTAGCCGCAGGCCTGCCCCCTGCCCCCTGAAAAGCCCTGCCCCCTTCCCCTGCAGGGCTATGGGACTCACCTGATGAACCACCTGAAGGAGTATCACATCAAACACAACATTCTCTACTTCCTCACCTATGCCGACGAGTACGCCATTGGCTACTTCAAAAAGCAGGTGACCCTCACCTCACCCCGTTTGCCCACTTCCTGGGGACAGGGGTCATTCTGTCTCATCCCCAGTGTGGATGGAGTAGGAGTCCTTCGTCTCCCCTGTTCCATCCCACACCTGCGGGGGAGTCCTTCACACCTGTATTCCTCCCTCCTGCTGCTGCTCCACGGAAGGATAGGGTTCTCTAGGGCAGTTGGGCAGGCTGGGGGAGCTGGGAGGTTCTGGGGGTGAGTCGGGGGGTGGGTAGCCAGCCTGGAAACATGCCAGGGACAGATTCAGGTTGGAAAAGGCTTGCTGATGGATTGGCTGTAACTCTCCACGCCTTAGGGCTTCTCCAAGGACATCAAGGTGCCCAAGAGCCGCTACTTGGGCTACATTAAGGACTATGAGGGCGCAACACTGATGGAGTGTGAGCTGAACCCGCGAATTCCCTACACGGAGCTGTCCCACATCATCAAGAAGCAGAAGGAGGTGTGTGTGCATGTGTGTGCGTGTACTCGCACACACATGCACGTCTCCATGGGGCTTTTCATGAACGTGCACTTGAGGGTGAACACGTGTGGATGTGTACCACGTGTACACGCATGTGCGCATGCACGTGAAGAAGGATGGGCCAGGGTCTTGGTTCTTGCTCTGCCTCTTAGGGGAAATTAGGGGGGCATGACTGTGGCCTGGGAGGGTGTTTGCTGGAGCTGGGTTGGCCCCTCAGACCCTTCCTTCCCTCAGATCATCAAGAAGCTGATTGAGCGCAAACAGGCACAGATCCGAAAGGTCTACCCCGGGCTCAGTTGCTTCAAGGAGGGTGTGAGGCAGATCCCTGTGGAGAGCGTCCCCGGCATTCGTGAGCAGGGGTCTTGGCTGGGGAGGGGGTGTACTGCTTGGGGTGCGGACAGGCATTCTTAGGGGTGTTCTCCCCACTCCCCACTTTGCAGGAGAGACGGGCTGGAAGCCGCTGGGGAAGGAGAAGGGGTGAGTGTTGTGTGGAGGGAAGGGAGGAAGGAGGGGGAGGCAGAGGGCCCAGGAGCCTCAGACTCGGCCTCTCTTGCCCCAGGAAGGAGCTGAAGGACCCAGACCAGCTCTACACGACCCTCAAAAACCTGCTGGCCCAGATCAAGGTGGGGAGACCAGGCTCCCTTCTGGGGGTCCCTGTGCCAATGGCTGCGGCTTTCTGACCCAGGGTGGGGGGTGGCTGTCTCGAGCTGGGCGGGGGCACAGTGGGCCTGGCCTCAGCCCGGCTCTCCTCTGCAGTCCCACCCCAGTGCCTGGCCCTTCATGGAGCCCGTGAAGAAGTCGGAGGCCCCAGACTACTACGAGGTCATCCGCTTCCCCATCGGTGAGGACCCTCCGTTCCAACTCCTTCCTCCCACACCTGCTCCGGCTCCCTGGGCCGTGCAGCCTCTGAAAACCGTGCCCTTCTCTCCTGCTGCCCAGACCTGAAGACCATGACAGAGAGGCTGCGCAGCCGCTACTATGTGACCCGGAAGCTCTTTGTAGCTGACCTGCAGCGGGTCATCGCTAACTGCCGCGAGTACAATCCCCCGGACAGCGAGTACTGCCGCTGCGCCAGCGCCCTGGAGAAGTTCTTTTACTTCAAGCTCAAGGAGGGCGGGCTCATTGACAAGTAGTCTGGCTTTGGACCTCGGCCTCAACCTGGAATGCCTCCACCTCGGGTTCTGATCTAATCCCTGGGGTGCCCTTGTGCCTGGGTCTGCCTCAGTTTGAGACACTCCAGCCAGGGGCCTTCCAGCCCCTGATCCTGCAGCCGTTTCAGGGCCCTGGGACACCCCCAAGCCTGCAGCTCTGTCCCACCCTTCATTGTGTCTGACCTTGGGAAGGGGTCTCTCAGGTCTGGGGTTCAGCCCCTCTAAGAGTGGCTGGTGGCCAGAGGATGAAGCCTGTCCAGCCCTGGTGGCCCCCAGTCCTGCCTGATCCCCCCTTCTCCCCACCCCCACCCGCAACACACACACACACACACACACACACACACACACACTCCCCCAAGCTATGGAGTTTTGGAGTCCTGGCCCTGGCCCTGGCCCAGGTCACTGTTTCCTCAAGGGCAGGATTGCAAACTTTAGCTTGAGTGAGGGGGCTTCAGGGGTTGGAAGTTCAACCTGGACTGGAGGGGCCATGCCTCACCCTGCACTGTTCTGTTTGTCCCCCAGGGGTGGGGGGCATGGGGACCATTCATTTCCTGGCATTAATCCCTTGGAGGGAACAATAAAGTTTTGGGGTTTTTATTCTCAGTGTGATTGTTTCTTCAGTAGAATCCCTGGCCTTAGCAGGCTAACCCTGTTCTGCCAATACTGCCTGCAGGCTGGGGCTGCCCTTCTCAGCAAGCCTCATGCCTGTCCCGCGCCCCCGGGGCGATGGGGCTTGCCGGGCTGCAGCCCCCCACTTCTCCCTGCTGTCTGCTCCTGGTCCAGGTGAAGACTCCACTCCTGGGGGAGGGGCTAGCAGGACCCAGGAGGAAAGAGAGGGTGCCTTGCTGTCAGCAGCACTTCTCCCCCTCCCTCCACCCCTCACCCACCATATCCCCCCACCCGGGCCCCCTGAAGCGCACAAAGTTTTTTCTGTGGGGCAGCGAAGGGAGATTCCTAGGTTGATCTCTGCAGGGCTGGCTCCTCCCCTCAGTTTCAGTTTCCATTTCCTGCTCAGCGGAGCCCAGCAGCATCTGGGCTGAGCCGGCAGGGCTGCAGGTGAGACCCGGGCTACTCAGCCTTTCCCCTGCCCAGATCGGTTTCCGGTAGGTCCCACCGTTGCCCTGCCCCCTTCTCCCTCAAGCTGGATGGAGTCCGGGGCACAGGGAGTTCCCTACGCAAGACTGAGCTGGCCAGGAGTGGAGAGTGGCTCTGAGGGGTGCCGGGCCTGGGAGGGAGCCAGGAGGACCAGTGGTCTGAGCTCCCTGCCATTTCCAGAATGGAGCTGCGACCCTACCAGTGGGAGGTGATCATGCCTGCCCTGGAGGGCAAGAATATCATCATTTGGCTGCCCACGGGCTCCGGGAAGACCAGGGCAGCTGCTTATTTGGCCAAGAGGCATCTAGAGACTGTAGACGGAGCCAAGGTGGTTGTATTGGTCAACAGGGTGAGTGTCCTGCCCTCCCCCCAGCGGCGTCTCAACTCCTCGGGTGCCTCTCAGGACCCTCCGGAACTCCAAAGCGGCTGTGACTGTCTCTAAGCTCACCTGTCTTTTCACCCATTCCAGAACTCAGCCATGTCCTGGGGGTCACCTTACTCCCCCTATTCCCCAGGCCCTGATCCAGCTTCCTCTCCCCATCTTATTCTCCACCCCCAGGTGCACCTGGTGACCCAGCATTGTGAGGAGTTCAGCAGCATGCTGGGCAAGCGCTGGACCATTACAGCCCTGAGTGGGGACATGGGGCCACGAGCTGGCTTTGGCCACGTGGCCCGGAGGCACGACTTGCTCGTCTGCACGGCTGAGCTGCTGCAGAAGGCACTGACCAGCCTGGAGGAGGGGGAGCATGTGGAGCTCAACGGTGAGGGCTGGGGGCAGGGGGAAAGGGTGCACACCTGAGGCCCCCTGCCTGCCAACCCCAGGACTCCTGTTCTAGTAAAGGTGTTGGGACATTTCATGGGATGAGGAGTTCCCCATTCACCAAACCCCAGCATACACCCCAGTAGAAACAGACCTGGCTAGAGTGCAGGGTCTTGGGCAAGTACCTTCCCCCAGCTGAGCCTCAGTTTACTAACCTGTAAAATGGAGGTAAATCGGCCCTGCCTGGCCCATTCTCTGGGGCCTAGCTGCAAGCCGTGAAGGGAGGAAGGAATTCTCAGATGAGTTGTGGGGACTACATGAAACAGCTTATGGGAGGAAGGGCTTTGCAAACTTAGGTAATAACCTTCTCTTGTGTGCCTCCAGCCTTTTCCCTGCTGGTGGTGGATGAGTGTCACCACACGCACAAAGACACCATCTACAACGTCATCCTGAGCCGGTACCTGGAGCTTAAACTCCGGAGGACCCGGCCGCTGCCGCAGGTGCTGGGTCTCACAGCCTCGCCAGGCACTGGTGGGGCCTCCACGCTCGATGGGGCCATTGACCACGTCCTGCAGGTCAGCTTGGCCCCTGTGACCCTCCCAACAGAAACCTCCCTAACCTGTCCTGCCTTACACCATGCCCATCAGCCCTCTCCAGACTCCCCCAGGCAGGGTTCAAGCCGCTTCCCACCTAAGCTCCAGCCTCGAATGACTTCTTGTCGCACTTATTCTATCTCCCAAGTCCACTCTGGCTTACAAAGTCCCATGTGACCTAGGCCTTGCCTACCTCCCACCCTCATTTCCTGCGCCCTTCCCCTCACTCCCACTATTCTGGCCTTCTCTCTGTATCTTGAGCATGTCAGGCTTGTTGTGTCTCAGGACCTTTGCACTTGCCATTTCTTCTGCCCTGAATGCCTTTACCCTGCACTTTACTTGTCAGGCTCTTTCTTGTCATTCAGGGAGCAGCTTAAATGTCACGTCTTCAGAGTTTTCCCTGATCATCACTGCACTCTTTTTTTATTTTTAATTATTTATTTAATTATTTATTTTTGGCTGCGTTGGGTCTTCATTGGTGCACATGGGCTTTCTCTAGTTCCGGTGAGCGAGGGCTACTCTTCGTTGCGGTGCGCGGGCTTCTCTTTGCAGTGGCTTCTCTTTTTGCGGAGCACAGGCTCTAGGTGCACGGGCTTCAGTACTTGTGGCACGCAGGCTCAGTACTTGTGGCACGCAGGCTCAGTACTTGTGGCACGCAGGCTCAGTAGTTGTGGCACGCAGGCTCAGTACTTGTGGCACGCAGGCTCAGTACTTGTGGCACGCAGGCTCAGTAGTTGTGGCACGCAGGCTCAGTAGTTGTGATGCACAGGCTTAGTTGCTCTGCGGCAACTAGTGGGATCTTCCTGGACCAGGGATCGAACCTGTGTCCCCTGCATTGGCAGGCAGATTCTTAACCACAACGCCACCAGGGAAGTCCCACTGCACTCTTTCATATCATCCAGTTTTATTTTTTTAGAGCTCGTTAACACTACGTGAAATTCTCTCATTCTATTACTCTTTTTTTTTTTATTTTTTTTTTTTTTTTGCGGTACGCGGGCCTCTCACTGTCGTGGCCTCTCCTGTTGGGGAGCACAGGCTCTGGACGCGCAGGCTCAGCGGCCATGGCTCACGGGCCTAGCCGCTCCGCGGCATGTGGGATCCTCCCGGACTGGGGCACGAACCCGCGTCCCCTGCATCAGGCGGACTCTCAACCACGGCGCCACCAGGGAAGCTCTTAAATTTTAATTTTAATTTATTTATTTGGCTGCGTCAGGTCTTAGCTGCGGCACACGGGATCTTCGCTGCGGCATGCGGGATCTTTCATTGCAATGGGCAGGCTTCTCTCTAGTTATGGGGCACGGGCTCCAGAGCGCGTGGGCTCAGTAGTTGTGGCGTGCAGGCTTAACTGCCCCGCAGCATGTGGGATCTTAGTTGTGGGGCCAGGGATCGAACCCGTGTCCCCTGCACTGGAAGGCGGATTCTTAACCACTGTACCACCAGGGAAGTCCCTCATTTTGTTACTCTTTACTTGTTTATCACCTGTCTCCCCAACTCCAATGTAAGATGCTCTGTATCCCTGGTAACTAGAACAGCACTGGGCATAGAAAAGGAGGGCAATAGCTATTTGTTGAATACATGAGTCTCCACTCCCAATGGCCCTGCCTCAGCCCATCCTGCCCCAAAGCTCTGCCCATTGTCCCCACAGAACCCCCCATTCCAGTGAACCCCTCTCTGTTGCCCCAGCTCTGCGCCAACCTGGACACGTGGCGCATCATGTCACCCCAGGACTACCGCTCCCAGCTGCTGCACAGCCGCCAGCCCTGCAAACAGTACGACCTCTGCCACAGACGCACCCAGGTGCATGGGGGGAGTGCCGTGGCAGGGGGTGGGGTCTGGTGTGAAGTTAGAGCACCTGGGGTTGAGCTCTGACTCCACCCTCACTAGCTCTGTGGTTTCAGGTTATTTGCTTTTGTCTCAGCCTCCGTTTCCCCTTTTTGTGAAATGGGGCAGATACAGCCCATGCCCTCAGCCTGCTGTTTCGTTGGACTCAGATGCCACCGTGGGCATCTCTCAAAACCCTGGGCACGCTTTGCAAACCGTAAAGCTGGGGCACTTTGTGCTGAGGCTGTTCCAAGCTCTCTCCTGCGGTGCAGACACTGTCTGGTGTCTGCTATGAAAGGGCTGGACAAGGACTAGACATCACTGTGCTCAGGCCAGAAGTCAAGGATTCCGACGTAGCAGGAGCGGGGGGCGTGCAGGACCCCGACCTCTGCCTCCAGCCAGGACTCCTTTCACACCCCAGCCGGCCTCCCTCTGGGGCTCCCTCCTGTCCAGCTCCGATGTGCCGGCAGTAGCGGCGCAGCTTCACCCGGAGATCAGCGTCCCCTCTGGGTGCCCATTCCCCCGATGTGTGTGGGAAACCCCTCACACCCTCACTCTTCTCGTCCAGGATCCGTTTGGCGACATGTTGAAGGAGCTCATGGACCAAATCCACGACCATCTGGAGATGCCCGAGTTGAGACGGGACTTCGGGACGCAGACCTACGAGCAACAAGTGGTGGAGCTGAGCCGGGATGGTGCGAGGGGCAGTTCTAGGGAAGGGGTATGCGGCCGGGGCGGGCCGGGGCGGGGCCAGCCTGGGCGGAGCCTTTCGGGGGCCGTAGTCTAGGCGGAAGTGGGCCCTGGAGGGGCGTGGCCACTCAGGCCCTGCGAACCCTACCCTCCCTCAGCGGCTGAGGCGGGGTTCCAGGAGCGGCGGGTGTACGCGCTTCACCTGCGTCGCTACAACGACGCACTGCTCATCCACGACACGGTCCGTGCGGTGGATGCCCTGGCCACTCTGCAGGATTTCTACGACAGGGAGCGCACCACTAAGACCCAGATCCTGCGTGCCGAGCGCTGGCTGCTGGCGCTGTTTGATGGTGAGGCTCGCAACTGAACTAAAGGTCAGAGGCCAGCCAGGACTCTGGTGCCAACGTGGGTGGGGAAGGTGCCAACGAGGGTACTGGGGCCCGAATTTTCTAACCAAAAGTCAAGGCCGTGGATATGACACAAGATAATATGCCCTCATTTGTGAAGGTTTGCATAGATATAAAAACTAATTCATGTTTTTGACAGAGATTTTTAAAAAACCATTTAATTGGGACGGTCCTTGAAGGTTTGGGATGTGTGGTACCTTTAAACTGGGAAAGTGAGGTGGTCAGAGGATGAAATGTAAGGCTAGAGGAGGCCTCAGCACAGGCTGGAGGGCAGGGATCTTTCTGAAGAGACCTGAGTTGAGTCAGACCCCAGGAGCAAAGATTAGCATGAAAATGTCCAGGGTCATCCTGGTAGCTGGGTTGAAGAGGGGTACTGGATGACGTATGTGAGCAAAGGATTCTACACTGTAGGCCCCCGACCTAAGGCTGGGCAGGCAGAGGGTATCCTTAAATGTGTTTTTGGTGCTGTTCAGGGGAATTAGGCAGGAGCAGGTGTCGTCAGGCACCCCCGGACCCCAAACTCCTGTAATCTTATCCCCATGAGTCCCCCACGCCCAACCCACGCCTTGCCCACCTCCAGACCTGAGTCCTGCCCTTCTGCTTTGGGCTTTTCTGGCAGACCACAAGAATAAGCTGGCCCACCTGGCAACTCGTGGCCCAGAGAACCCGAAACTGGAGGTGCTGGAAGAGATCCTGCAGAAGCAGTTCAGGAGCCCTGACAGCCCCCAGGGCATCATCTTCACCCGGACCCGCCAGAGTGCTCACTGCCTCCTGCTCTGGCTCCAGCAGCAGCCAGGCCTGCGGACAGTGGCCATCAGGCCCCAGCTGTTGATTGGGGCTGGGAACAGCAGCCAGAGCGCTCAGATGATCCCGATGACCCAGGTGTGGGTTCTGGGGAAAGGCACTGAGGGTGGGGCTTCCCTAGTGGAGAAAGGGAAGGGATAGGATCTTCAGCACAGAGCAATGGGGGACTGATTAGCTCCAGGCAGAGGGCAGAGAGCTGGGGGGAAGAGGTAGACACTGAGATCCCCAGTGTTGAAGGTTCCCCCAATCTGGAGATCTCTGGGGGAAGAGAGGCAGAGGCTTGGGGATCTGCAGGGAGAGGCGAGTGGCGTCCTCAGGACAGGGAATCAGGGGTCTGGGGTCCTCTGCATGAGAAGAATAGGTCCATGAGAGCTCCTAGAGTAGAGGGGCAGGGACCTGTAGGGACTCCTAAGGGAGACGGGGGTTAGATGGGTACCTGGGAAGATGAGCAAGGTCCTGGGGCTACTTGAAGATAGAGGTGGGGACGCAGGGTTCCTAGGGAAAGGGGACAAGATTGTGAGTAAAAGGGCTAAACCAGGAGAGGCTGGGCTGGCAGGAAGATAGGCCTCAACCTACCTCATTTACCATCCTCTTTCTCCTCCCCGACTTCCCCCCAGAGGGACCAGCAAGAAGTGATCCAGAAGTTCCGGACTGGTACCCTGAACCTCCTGGTGGCTACGAGTGTGGCAGAGGAGGGGCTGGACATCCCCCAGTGCAAGGTGGTGGTGCGCTATGGGCTCCTGACCAATGAGATCTCCATGGTCCAGGTGCCCAAAGCATCCCTCCCCAAAACAGCCCTCAAAGGATGCTGTGTGGGACCCCAGCCCCACTCAGGCCCCTCTGTTTTCTCTTTTCCCAGGCAAGGGGCCGTGCCCGGGCCAGCCAAAGTGTATACTCATTTGTGGCGGCCCAAGGTAGTCGGGAGCTGAAGCGGGAGCTGACCAATGAGGCGCTAGAGACTCTGATGGAACGGGCAGTAGCTGCTGTGCAGGAGATGGACCGGGCCAAGTACCAGGACAAGGTTTGTGGGCAGCCTGAGTACCCTACGGGGAAGGGGACTGAAGACGCTCTGCCTAGAAGGTCTCTGACTGCCACACACATACACTCCCCTGGTCCCCCTTCCTCTGGGGGCTAGCCTGGCCCACCTGGGGAAGATCTGAATGAAGGGAAAGGTAGAGGCTGGGGGTGGGGCTTCCAGGGAAGGCAATGGCTGTTCTCCAAAATGCCTTGGAAACAGGCCTTATCCAGGGCTTTGAATTTATCCTCATCACCAAATATTTTGTGTATCTGTGAGAGCCGCCTTACAGCCCTTCTGGAACCAGGCAGCAGGGAAACAAACAGACACATCCACAAAATAAGCCCAGAACCAGGGCTTAAGTCAGTTCCCCTGAGGCAGGGTCACTATCGTCCAGCCTTGTTCAGGATGGTCCCTATTTACTCCTGTTGTCCCAGCATAAGTATTAATGATGCCCCATGTTAGATTAAAAGAAGACACTTTGCACAAAATCCTCCAAAGAGGGAGTAAAGATTCAGCAAAAAGACTTGCCTTCCTCTCATATTTTTTTCCACCCCATATTTTTTTCCACAGAGCTGCTTCTAAAAAGTCCAGGGATGGTTGAGGAAGTCCCTTCTGGGTGCTAATAATCTGAGGTCTTTGGGAGCCCTCTGTCCCCCTGGGAGCATTCCTGGGGTCAGGTCTCTCAGGCCCCAACCATGCCCCATGTCCCCTCCCACCCCAGATCCAGGCTCTGCAGCGGGCAGCCTTGGTCCAGCGGGCAGCCCAGGCGGCCCAGCGGGAGAGTCACCAGCACAAGTTCCTGGCAGAGCACGTGCGGCTCCTCTGTGTCAACTGCACGGTGCCCGTGGGCTATGGGAGTGACCTACGGAGGGTGGAGGGTACCCACCACGTCAATGTGAACCCCAACTTCTTGTGAGAACTGTAGAAGGGGCTGTCGGGATGGGAGGCGGGGAGAGAAGAAGGGTATGATGGGAGATGGAGAATCCCTCCCATCCAGACAGTGCTTTGAGGGTTTGGAAGGTTAAAGAGCATTTTAACAACTACCAAGTATGCATTTTCATGGTAGTCTGAGTAGACAGGTCTTATCATCACCCCACTTTACAGGTGAGGAAACAGAGGCTCAGAGAGGCTAAGTGACTTGCCCAAGCTCCCACAGCCCCTATGTGGTTGACCAAGAGCTGGAATTCAGGATGCCAAATGCTGAGGGGCCACAGACTGGCCCCCTGGTCCTACCTACTTTGTTTTTTAATATTTAGTTATTTATTTATTTTTGGCTGCATTGGGTCTTAGTTGCGGCACTCAGGATCTTTCGTTGCAGTGTGTGGGTTCTTCGTTGTGGCGCGCGGGCTTCTCTCTAGTTGTGGCACGTGGGCTCATTAGCTGCAGCACATGGGCTCTGTAGTTGAGGCACACGGGCTCAGTAGTTACGGCACCTGGGCCTAATTGCCCCGCAGCATGTGGGATCTTGGTTCCCCAACCAGGTGGTCCTACCTACTTTGAAGACGTCAAGAGGGGCTAGTTGTCCCTGAGCCATCCCCTCATCTTCCACCCTCTAGAGGGTAACCTTTCCCCATCCTCCATCCCTTCATTATTTATTAGGTACCTGCTATGCCAACGATCTTCACACAGGTTCTCTCATTTGAGGAGGTAGCATTTCAACTAGGACTTGTCTTGAAGGATGCACTGGGTTGGAATGTGAGATGAGGAGAGGCAGGGATGATGCAACGGGAATAATTCTGGTTGACTTGAGCGGAAGAGATGGTGAAGGATGAGATTCTGAAGGAACACAGACTGGCCTGTGGAGGACTTTGGAGGTCGGGCTTGAAAGTTCAGCCTTTGTCCTGTAGGCAATGAGGAGTCTTGGAGGGATTTTGAGCAAGGGAATGTCAGGGTCAGATGTACATTTGTAGAGGGTCACTCTGACAGTTGGTGGAAGGATGATGTGGGGTTGAGAGTAAGGATGGAATGGGATGGAAGGATGGGGCAGGGAGAGCTGTTGGGGGACTGTTGAAATCATCCAGGTGGGTAGTGCTGAGGCCTGAGCTTGGCAGAAGAAGGTGCCATGGAGGCAGCATAGGCAGAGTGTAACCTCTCGACAGGCAGGAAGGCCCAAGGCCCAGGCGCAGGCTCAGCAGGCAGGAGGGCATGAGATCTGGGGCTGGGGTTGGGGGGTGTGGTCCATGAGGGCTGTGGCCACTCCCATTCTTCTCCAGGATCTACTACAACATCTCCCAGGAGCCTGTGGTCATCAACAGAGTCTTCAAGGACTGGAGGCCTGGAGGTGTTATTAGCTGCAGGAACTGTGGGGAGGTAGGTGCCGGGGCTGTGGCCCGCAGCACGTCTGGAGAAGTCCTCAGTCTGAGAGAGGAAGCCCAGCCTCTGCCATCAGGGTGCCCTCACTGGGATGGGGGAGGCAGCCCTGCCCCAGGAGCTCCCAATCCGAGGAGTTCCACCCCTGTCTTAGGGAGCCCACGGTGTGATGGGGGAGATGGCTCTCAGGCTGAGGTGGGAGACATAGGCCCAGCATTCATGAACTCCAACCTGAGGAGAGAAGCCCAGTCTGAGGACAGAGATGCAGACCTGGTCATCTCTGTCCCACCCACAGGGCTGGGGTCTGCAGATGATCTACAAGTCAGTGAAGCTGCCAGTACTCAAAGTCCGCAGCTTGCTGCTGGAGACACCGCAAGGGCGGGTCCAGTCCAAGAAGTGGTCCCGCGTGCCCTTCACCGTGCCTGACTTTGACTACGTGCAGCACTGTGCCCAGAACCTGGCCGACTTCTCCCTGGACTGACCATCTTGTCCCTGCAGTGCCCGCTGTAGCCTGCAGGGGGCGGGAGAATCCACGGCAGCCACCATCTCCTGGGCAAAGCCTGGGTCCAGCCCCTCCCTCCCGAGTCACCAGCTCCAGGCTCCCGGCTGACCAGCCACAGAGGAACCCTGGGCACCCAGGCTGGCTTGGACTCCCACACTGAGGAAGCAGCTGGAGAGCCACAGCTCATCCCAGACCCCCCTTACACGTACACAGACACCTTCGTATGCAATGGATGGAGCTGGTGGGGGGAAACTGAGGCAGAGGAATGGCCCCACTGTACTAGGCATCGCCAGTTTCCCTTGGCTTCAACATTCCTTCCCTGCCAAGGCCACTTGTAGGCTTTGAGATTCTCCATAAATTAAAAATAAAGAAGTAGAACTCATGTAGAAAATGGGAATGGGTGGTATTTTTAAAACAGATGTGTTGAGGTATAATTGACATAACTGTACATATTTATGGTGTGCAATTTGATAAGTTTAACGTATGTATGCGCTTCCACAATCAAGATAATGAACATCACCATCACCCTCAAAACTTCCTTGCTCCCGATGTAATCCTCTTCCCCTTCCCCATCCACCAATCTGCTTTGTGCTGTATTTCTCTCTTTTTTTTAGTTAGTTTTGTTTTAATTAATTAATTTATGTTTTGGCTGTGTCAGGTCTTGGTTACGGCATGCGGGTTTCTTTCTAGTTGTGGCACGTGGGCTTCTCTCTAGTTGTGGCTTAACTGCCCGTGACGCGTGGGATCTTAGTTCCCCAACCAGAGATCGAACCTGCGTCCCCTGCATTGGAAGGCAGATTCTTAACCAGTGGACTACCAGGGAAGTCCCTGTGCTGTATTTCTAATGTTCAAAGCTTTTTAAAAAAAAATTTTTTAACACCCCTCTTTATGGCTATCATGTAACCTTGATTTGGAGAGAGCATCAAAAGTCTAAATTTGAGAACCACTGAGAATGTGAGGCCTTTCTGCCTCCTCCATCCCATAATAGGCTCATACCCCAGTGCCCCCCTCTCCAGCCTCTCCTAACCCCCAGGTCATCTCCCCTGGGCTGAGGAGAGGCTGAGATCCAGGATTTGAGGGGTAGGGCTCAGGTAGGCATGGGGGGTGGGAAAAGTTGTAAAGGCCTACATTTTCTGTTCTCGTTTTAACAAGAAAGGAAGAAAAAGAAAGGCAAGAACTAGGTTGATTCTTCAGGGAAAGGGCTATTTCTGTAGTAAGCAGCCCAGCAGGCAGGAGTCACCTTCAAGAGGAAGGGAGGGGGCTAGGGCAGAGATTTGAGAGCAGGATGGCAGTCCTTCCTGCCATCTAACCTCCTTCCCTCTGGCTACATCCCTGGTCCTGCCTAAGGGTAGATGGGAAATAATGTGCACTCCCTTCTCCCAGCATCTTTCTTCATCTTCTGATTGAAGGCTGACATTTCAGTACCAGTCTTCTTGGCCTCCACTCCCCCAGAGAGTGTACCCCTCTTTCCTAGGGCCTCTCTTCCTGCTATTCTCCATGGCTCCAGGAGTCACCCTTCTCCTCCCTCCTGTCCCATCTCTGCCTCCCGGGGCCCCTTCTTCTGCCCCTCTGCTCCCCACTTCACCTTCACTTGTGATCTCTTCTGCCAGCAACGTGCCTTTTACAGGTCAATAAAATTAGCGACTGGGGGCAGAGGGAGGGGGGCAGGGGCCCAGGGGTGCTAAGCTCAATGGCCTTGAGTGTGGCTGGTTGCACGGAGTCCAGATGCCTGTCATTCCAGGGCTAAACAGTGACAGCTGAGGGACCTGAGCTGGTGTTGAGGGCAGGGGTGGGGGTGGCGTGGGGTGTGTGTGTGTGTGTGTGTGTGTGTGTGTGTGTGTGTGTGTGTGTATGTGGCTGTGTTGCTGGGAGAGAGATGGACTGAGGATAAAGATGACCTGGGTACCTAATGGTCCCCTCGGTGGCCTGAGCCCCTACACAGCTGACCCCTGGATGGGGGGGCCCTGACTTTAGAGGACGTGTCCTATCGCGCACCCACCTTGCCAGGCTGGGAGAGCTTTCCTGAGCTCAGATGGAAGGGGGAACGCAGACGAGGAGGGGTTCCCGGGCTTGCTTCTTCGTGTGAGGGGGTCTTCATGTGGAGCCACTGCCTCCTGGGCACTTGGGTAAGGCTGCCTGAAAGAGGGCACTTCATGAGGTCCTCAGGACCCAGGAATCCTAAGTCCCAGCCCTCAGAATAGCTAGAGCTCCAGAGCCTCCCTAGTGGCCCGGATGCTCCCCCCTTTAAGCCCACCTGAATAAACCAGCCCGCTCCTCCCCGCGGAGACTCGGGGAGGGGCTCGGCCGCCGCTCCCCCAGGCCCCGCCCCCGCCCCGGCCCCGCCTCCGCCTCGGCAAGCGCGAAGCCGCTGCGCTACGGAGCGCGGTGAGAGCAGGTGGCCGCGGCGGGCTCGTCCGTGCCCCGCAGGTAAGTCAGCGACGCAGGCTGGTCCACGCTGAGGACCTCGAGGGCAGTGCGGGAGAACAAGGCAGCCCCTTCCACCTGTCCTGTGCCCTCGCCTCAAAACTGGGGGACCCCAAGGGGCAGGGAGGATATCCCTATTGGCTCTAAGCACTGATGCTGGGCATCTAGGTAGCGGGTGAGACTAAACTCTGGAGAAGTTTAGAGGGTCACGGCTGGCTTTCCTTGATGCCGAGGCAGGCTGTGAGGGACAGAAAAGGACAGAGCCGGACCTGAGGCACGCAGCTTTCTGGAGGAGAGCAGGTTACGGGTGGTGACTGCAGGGCTCCGGGTAAGGAACCTCACTGACTCAGAGTGCCCCGTGCCTCATTCAGTGCATCCTACTCCCTCCTCCCACTTAGGGGGTGATGGGGTGACCCAAACGGCCTCTGAGGGAAAATGCGGTAAGAGACACTGCATACCTGAGTTGGAGCCTGGGTTTTCTGGTGTGCCCCAGGGCACCTGCATCATTTCTTTACACCCTGGAAACAGATGTGTGGGGGTGAAGCGGAAGAGGGAGCAGGGGCTGGTCCAGATGGCCTGGGGAACCCAGAGAGCCTGGGGACTGAATAGATCTTCTCTGCGTCCATGTCCCAGAGCCAGATGGGGGAGGTGATCACAGAAGTGGGCGTTATTGTAGACGCGGGTGCATTTGCACCTTCTGTGTTGGGATTTGGGCTGTAGGGAAGGGGTCCTGCCTCCTAGGACCTCAAGGAAGGCTTCCTGGAAAAGGAGGTCCTGAGTTGACAGCTCAGGTGGGATGCTTAGAGCTCTGAGCCACAAAGGAGAGTCAGACTTTGGGCCTAGCTACTGTGTTAGGGTAGAGCAGAGGACCCCAGATAGTAGAATGGAGGGAGGTCAGGATGCTTCTGTCTGGGTCCAGCCAGCACCCCATGGACCTTCTAGAGATCATCACAAGCCAACAGACAGACCAAGACCCAACTCAGGTGGCGGGGCTCTCTGTGTCTGTCTAGTTTCCCCATTCCATTGTCTCCTCTCACCACATACACTGTCACTGTTAGGAAGTTCTCTCTCATATCTGACCTTCATCCCTTCTGCTTCTGTGCCAGCTTCTTGCTTCTGGGAGGCGATGTGCTATGGTGGAAAGCGTGGGGACTCTGGGGTCACTTAGACTTGGGTTCTGTCACCTCTACCTACTGTGTGACCTTAGGCGAGTTAGTTCACCTATGAGTTCGCTTCCCCACCTGTAAAGTGGGGATAATAATAGAACCCACCTCATAGGGTGGCTGCAAGGATTAAATGAGAATGTGGACAGAGTGCTTAGCAAAGCGCCTGGCGCCTGGTGAGGGCTCCACAAGTGCAAGTGTCCCCTCCTGTGTAGGACAGCAAAGCCGAGCTGCCAGGGGTAGGGGTGGGGTTGGAAATTCTTTTTGAAACTTGGCCAGAGAGAGCCGTGCCCTTCACCCCCACCCCCACCCAGCCCCTGCTGGTCCCTGGATCCTGACTGGGTCTGTCTGGGCTGCCCAGGTCCCCTCACCACCTTCTCCTTAGTCACCCTGTTTTTTGTTTCCAGGGTGAGAAGACAGGGCAGGGACCAGCAGCAGCCCACTTGGGGAGGGCTGTGCCTCAGAAGAGCAAACTGGCTTAGAGACCCAACCAAAAAAAAAAAAAAAAGCCCCATTGTCATCACCTCTCTGCCCTCCCCACATCCAGAAATCCACAAGTTGGGATCAAGCTGCACTAAATTTTTCCAGGAAGATAAATAATACAAGTGACTGAAAGTCCTGTTTGGGGATTGTCCAAGCTGCCCTCCAATGGAACGACAGCTCCCGTTCCTGGCCCGAGTTCTGGAGGCTGCCAGGGAAGTCTGGGTCTAATGAGTGCCCTTAAACCTGGGCAAGGGAGGGGTGGCCCATACCCTGGCTGGGTGCTTTCATGGTCTCTGCTCTGGCCCTCCTCTTGCCATCCCTCTCCCTGTTGGGTGAGGAGTAGTCAGCAGGGCCAAGGGGATGAGCCTGGGTATCCCCTTCAAGACCACATGCGCCATACCTGTGACTCCGGAGGTCCCTGCCCAGAAGGTCGCCGGCTTGCTCCCAGCACATGCAAGCCTCTTCCCTGGGCCTGTTCTCCTCAGGGCAGGTCATGCCACTAGTGTGTGCACCCCTAGACCTGAAGGACACCTGAAGATGGCTAAGGGACAGCTGTTTGCAGGGCATGAAGATGGAACCAGGATGTGAGTTGAGGCTGGGTGTTGACCTCCATGCCTATGAGTCCCTTGCAGTGTAGAAAGGAGCTGGCAGTAGGAAGGGGGGCTGCTGGCGGGGCGCAGGGTGGGAGTGGAGCTGTCTCTCCCTATACAGAGTTGTTCTGCAAAACTCCCAGGAGTCAGAGGCATCTAAATTGGAAACTGGTCTTCCAGGACATTATGAAAGTGTACTTGTCAAGGTGGGAGGTTAGAACTTATTTTTTTATTGTATTTGGTTTGACTTTGGGCCGCACCACGCAGCTTGCAGGATCTTATTTCCCCAACCAGGGATCAGACCCGGGCCCCGGCAGTGAGAGCGTTGAGTCCTAACCATTGGACCGCCAGGGAATTCCCTGAACATATTTTAATTAGCAGTTTACTAGCTCGATTTACAACTTTTAAATATTTAGACATGGGCAGGTGGGCCCCCATTTGTCCTCCTGCTCCAGGCCCTGCAAATGTTAGAGGTGGGCCTGGCAGCATCTGTGACCGAAACCGCTATTTGGTGAATTCCCTTCCTGTTCTCTCTGTCCCCCAATAGCACCCCTGTAAAACTGGGCTTAGGACACGCCCACCTGGACCAGGAAGGAGTTGCAAGGTGAAATGAAGACTGTCAGCTGCCACCGACAAGCAGTCCCCCCTTGGGCCTGCTGACCTCATTCTCCATGCCAAAACTGGGACATTTAAAAAATGTCCTGTGATGCTTAAGAGGGAAG